AATTTGAGTGTTATGTGAAACTGCTTACATTTCTTGAGTCATCTCCCTTTCCAAGAGATCTGAGTTGCCCCATTTGATCAAAACTGATGAAGTCATCTTGAATTGTTTGTTGGTTCCACAGTTGCTTTGATCAATTAATGAAAGACAAAGTTGTTTCAAACATTTTCATTTCATTGATTTTCCTCAAGTTAACCTACACTCTTTGCCTCAAATTTTGACTGATCAAGGGATTGTGGAATCCACTGTAACTATTCACTAACACCATGTAAATATCCTTGTAGCACATTGAGGTACACACACAAAAGACTTTCCTTAAAACCCGTAAAGATCCATCAAAGAGGTGCCACAACAAGCACATCTATCCCTTATCACCTGGGAGGTTGAAAGTCAGTTGACCCCTGCGGACCACAAAGGATTCTGCAAATCCTTCAAATAAATCACTATCCACAAAGGGTTCTCAACAAAAATCTCAGTCTAAATCCAACTAAAAGACTTGAAAATTATCAATACTTGGGTGCATGGAAGATGGGTGAATGAATTTTGAATTATACAGGATTCTCCTCCACTGGCTCCTGATACAAAAAGCTGATGGCTTCCATAAATTTTGATGGATGTGAGGGAGCCATCTGGGTGACCAGAGAGCAGTGTTTGGGGGCTGTGAATATGCCTGTTTGAGCTACTCCCAGCGCCTCTGTCAAGCTTTTCATATATAGGTGACATAATGGAGCGCCTAAAACTCAATTTTGGTCATTTGAAACCTTTCATAACACATTGTAACCTAGTACTTACATTCCCAAGACCATTTGCTCTACAAACCTTAGATTTTGAGTCACAACAATGTTTTTGAGTCACAAAGATGTTTTTTGTGTTTAAAAAATGATATTTTGAGTTACAAGAATACTCTGAAAGTCAGGTGTTGAAAGTTACAAAAATGATATTTCCAGTTACAAGAATGCTTTCCAAGTTACACGCATGATACTTTTGCCACTCACAAAGCATGGTTGTGATTCAAGGTATCATTCTGGTTACCAGCAATACAAATTTTTTAATTTGAACAGCATTGATGTAAGTCAACATACCATCCTCATGACTTGAAACATCATTTTGGTGACTCAAAAAGCATTCTTGTGACTCAAAACATCATTTTGGTGACTCAAAAATCATTCTGGCAACTCAATATAACATTCTGATAACCCAAAAAGCATTCCTGTAACTTGGAATATAATCTCCATAATCAAAAAGCATTCTTGTAACTGGAAATATGTTATAGGTCTCATCCCACACTGAAACAAACATGTAGGTGCTAGTTTCACAATGTCAAAATAAGCATGTAGGTTTCATCTTGTGGGAAACCAACTTGTAAGCACTATCTTGGCCTATGTTGGCAGTGCCTACAAGTTTGGATTGTGGGGGTCATCTAGCAATATCCTGAATATCTGTACTATAAATTCTCAGGTATGTCCAATATGTTGTTGTATGAAATCTGAATTATATATTGACCTTGTTGATCTGATACTTTATTTACACAGTGGTGTTTTATAGCAAGAAAGTTGTTGGTCCCTGTCAGCTCGAGACTACGAACTGTTGACTAGTAGGTAGGTCTAAGCTGAAATGAACTTACGAAATGTATATTCTGAGCTTATAAGCTAAGAATTTATTTTTCAATTCTTCGTAGAAAAACTTGAGTATATGTACTGAGAGTGATTTCAAGCGAATCTCTTCCTCTAAATAGAAGAGTACGCTTATTCTGAAGTGGATACAAGAGTAAACTAGCTTCAGATTTGCTTTAGCAAAAGTGTTGAACAAATAGTTCAATCAAAATGGGTATGAAGTCTTTAGTCGAGTAGTTCTCACTAAACAATCTTTAAAGAACTTCTTAAGGAAGAAAATGAAGAAGTGAAACGAGAAGAGAAAACGAAAATCAGGAGTAGAGAGTTATTTTAAAGATGTCTATCGGTAAGATGTCTAAAAAGGTAACACTATCTTGATAAGTCGTAAGTAAGAAGGAATAGTTTTCAGACGAGATGTTTTCTAAGACAAAGGGTAGAAAAGTATCTAAATGAAGTAGGTGTTCTCGTTAAAAAGGTTAAAGTATGGGATGACCTCTCTTTTCTTTTAGAGAAGCTATCTAGTTTTATATGAGAATTTGTTAAGAGCGTTTTACCTTTTTTACCAGGGTTCGGATATTCTAAACTGGCCTGGTTGTAGTAAGACTTCTTCAAACTTTGCCTGGTCAGGGTCTGGTGGTCTGTCTGACCCTTGATTCCTGTTAGGACCAGGCGAAGTTTATTTTAGTCGTAGCTACGGTTACTTTTATTATTAATGTTTTCGTCATAGCTTTTTAGTTTTCAGGGTTCTCGATTTTCACTCTTGAGACTGAGTGGTAGCGTTGTAATTTTGTTTGTATATATAATTTTATGTGCAAGAAAGGGTTCAACCCTGATGTCTATGTTTTGGGGCTTACGTTGTAAGTTTTGTCTACGTTGTAGGAGTTCTGCTCCGCAGAACTTCTTATAGTTGACACTCACCGGGGTCGGAAAAAAGAAAAAGCCTAAGAGGAATTTTTCTTATCTCTCCTAAACTTACGCAGAACTTGTTGGGCATTGGTTATTTTGTCTTCGGGTAACCATTCGTCGCCGTCAGCGCTTTTACCTTTATATCTTACTAGATATAAGCGTACGTCCTTTCCTGATATCTTAACTCTTTTTTGATCTAATACTTTAAGAACCGTTTTTGGTGCATCGTCGTCGAAAGGTATCGCATCTTTTGCCTCCATTCTGTTTGGGAATTTGTTTGTGTCCGATTGCTTGAAATGTTTGAGCAGGGATACAAGAAAAGTCGGGTGTTTTCTTGCAAATTCACCTGTTAATGCTACTTCGACAGCGTTTGGGCCGTGCAATTTTACTACGGTAAAGGGCCCTACAAAGGAATCCTTAAGTTTCCTGGGACCCTGAATGTTATTAAAGTTGATAGTAGAAATCAATACTTTATCACCTATAACGAATTCAGGCTCCCTGTGTGTCTTGTCCCACCTGTCCTTATTGTATTTGACGGCTTCCTCTATGCAGTCTTTAGCGTGTTGCCTAGCTTTTGACAACATCGTGTGGAAACTGAGGGACGTCGGGTGTACTTGAATACCTTTGTTCCCAACCATATCCTTAGGTGTTCTTGGGTTATACCCTCGTTCTAACTCGAACGGAGTTCTTCCCGTTGTACTATGGGTGCTCGTATTGTACGCCAACTCCAAAGCTGGTAACAAAGTCTTCCAGTCATGGGTGTACCCATCTTTGTCTTTGAACGACAGACCGAACGCGCAGTATTGCCTAAGCATATCTTCTAGGCTCTGTATCATGCGTTCTGCAAGGCCATCCGTTTGGGGGTGATATGACGTAGACATTGCTAGCGTGGTGCCAATAAGTTTAGTCAGGCCTTTCCAAAATTCCGACGTGAATTTTGGGTCCCTATCGCTTATGATGACTCGAGGTAGCCCACAATCGCTTATGATATATTGCCAAAATAATAACGCCGTACCCATTGCATCGATTTCTTTATGGCAAGGAATGAATCTAGTGCGCCTAGAAAACCTGTCAACTACTACAAGGACGCTGTTGACGTTGTCGCTTCCTGCCGGTGGTAGAGCAGTCACGAAGTCCATATTTATGACCTCCCACGGAAATTTGGGTTCTTCGATCCTTTGCAGAAGCCCGAATCTCTTGCCTGTCTGTCTATTTGCCTTCTGGCATCTTTCGCAGGACTCGACATATTGTTGTACATCTTTTCGCCAGTCAGGCCACCAAGCCGTCGAGCTCATTCGTTCTACGACCCTGTCCTCGCTCAGGTGACCAGACATGAAATCGTCATGGCAGACCGAGATGAGTTGTTCTATGTCATCTTTATCACAGATGACTAAGACGTTGGTATGTCTCTCTTTATGATATAGTAGTCCCGATATTAGGGAGAATTTTCCCTCCGTAAATGGTTCTCTCCATTGTATTTCCAGGGTGCTTTCTAAAGATTGATCTCTATGTTCAAGACTGAATATTTTCAATAAAATTGTGGTGTTAGAATTCTTCGTGTAACTCTGTTCGATTTTCGTAAAAAATTTGTCTGAAAGGTCGCACAGGTTAATACCCATAATCGGTACGTCCCTGTCTTCGTCTTCTGCCTCCCAAGCAGGATTATTGGAATCGTTAGGCATTGCCATCCTACTCAGCGCGTCAGCGTTGCTATGTAGTATTCCGGGTCTGTGGGTAATAGTCATGTATGACTTATACTCCTGAATGGCCATCTGCCAGCGGAGCATGTGTCTCGTCGGCGTCTTGGTATTTAAAAGTGACTTAATTGCCTGACAGTCCGTGATAACCTCAAAATAAATGCCATCGAGGTAGTAATGCAGTTTATTCAAGGCCCAAACAAGCGCCAGGCATTCCAGCTGGGGTGCACCATACTTTTTCTCGCTCTCCTTCAGCTGTCTCAAAATGAAGCAGACTGGGCCGTTAACGGTTTTGCCTCCACTCACTTGTTTTTGATGCAGTGCTGCACCTAAACCAAAGAAGCTCGCATCTACATAGAGGATAAATGGTTTCGTGAAATCCGGCTGCAATAGACATGGAGCTGTTGTAAGCAGTCTCTTGACGTTTTCCCATGCTGTCGCTCTTTGTTTTTCTCCATGAGCTGATCACGCGTCCCGTTCATCCCCATATCTATTGCTTCAATAGCTAGTTTTGACCAATGGTCCAGACCATTTTTAGTTGCTGTCATATCTTCACTAGATTGTTTGACTACTGTACCAACTTGGTTTAATGCTCTTACTTGACTGTTGATGCTCTCTACTAAATTAGCTATGGTTTTGTCAACGATATCCAAGCGTTTGCTTGGCTCACGAGTTCTAACGAGTGAATGGATAGCTTTAATTTCTTTGTGTAACGTTTCAACACTAAGCTTAATAGGGGCTAAATACAATTGGAAAGCAGGCGCAAAAGTATTCGATAACTCTCTATCTAAGGGTAAGATGGTCCTCTCGCATTCTTCACTGCCATGCCGGCTGCTTGAATGATCCCTATGATCTCGTCTCCTACTGTCCTCCCCTGATGTTGTGATGGTTGTGTCGGTCGTGAATAAGGCGTCCGGGGCGGGAATTTCTGACCTCGCACTCGCCTCTCGAACGTCTTCCAATCCCAGTCCGATGGATTCCAGTTTCAACTGCGTTCCATCAAACATTTGTAACCGATCATCTTCAATAATTGGCAATACATGCTCTTGGCGTGTTGTGTGGATTTCTTGAATGTTTTGAAATCTTTCTCCTGCCTGGCTTTGTACCAAATGTGGTAGTTGACCTGATACTTCTCGAGGAGATTGTATTCCTCCTGGGTCAAGTTGCGATCTGGACCTCCTGGATACGTTGGTGGATCCGCTGGGCTTTCTGCTATCGACTGCGCTTGTGGCTCTTCGTCCAGAATCATCGCCGATTGCCCCCGCTGATCCTGCAATGCTCGATGCTCTGGAGGAGCTGGATCTAGTGTTAGGTGCCATTAATCAGTCAGGAATGCGTATGTGTAATGGGTTATTTCCCTCTTCTAAAAAAAAATTTCGAAATTCTACACACTGATAGCTTCTGCGGTTTTCTTAGGTATCGTGAACTTCGACAATTCCTGAAAAGCTTGGTTTACTGACGGTACGTCTTTAGTCAAGCTAGGATTATTGTTAGTCGTATTCACTGTCCAATATAACAAACAATCAAATCGTTATTTTCTCAAAAAGACGAAAATGTCAAAAAACTTTTAATAGCTACTAAATGGATGCTCACTTTTGGCTTCTTCGTAGTCAATCAGATCCTCTCCTGGGTTATAAGGTGCAATTGGTTGAATCGTATCGATGGGCACTATATATGTAAGAGGAGTTTTTGTTAAACAAACAAAAAACTTGTCGTTCAGCCTTGCTATTTGTGATAGTTTATAAAGGCGCTGCTTACTCGTATCTTAACAGTTATTGATTTGTTTCTGAGAGGAAATCAGAGGTCGCAAACGTCGATGACATCTTCTAAAAGTGCGAGTTCTGGTTCTTGATCTAAGCTGACAAGTCGTAAGAACGGATGATTCGGTCTTAAAGTATGAGCTCCGAAAACTGGATCGTAGACTTCGTCACTGAACGGGTTTTCTGTTGTATGCAAATAGTACGGTAGTTCTCTAAACAAATCAATCGATGATTGGTTCAGATAGAAGGAAGCAATCTTGTTTGGTATGATTCTAAGAAAGATGGTAGGAGATAGAGTCGGGTGCTTGTTTTTCTTTGGTTGTAAAAAAGAAACTTGTAAAATAGATGAGGCCCCCAAATGTCAGCTCGAGACTACGAACTGTTGACTAGTAGGTAGGTCTAAGCTGAAATGAACTTACGAAATGTATATTCTGAGCTTATAAGCTAAGAATTTATTTTTCAATTCTTCGTAGAAAAACTTGAGTATATGTACTGAGAGTGATTTCAAGCGAATCTCTTCCTCTAAATAGAAGAGTACGCTTATTCTGAAGTGGACACAAGAGTAAACTAGCTTCAGATTTGCTTTAGCAAAAGTGTTGAACAAATAGTTCAATCAAAATGGGTATGAAGTCTTTAGTCGAGTAGTTCTCACTAAACAATCTTTAAAGAACTTCTTAAGGAAGAAAATGAAGAAGTGAAACGAGAAGAGAAAACGAAAATCAGGAGTAGAGAGTTATTTTAAAGATGTCTATCGGTAAGATGTCTAAAAAGGTAACACTATCTTGATAAGTCGTAAGTAAGAAGGAATAGTTTTCAGACGAGGTGTTTTCTAAGACAAAGGGTAGAAAAGTATCTAAATGAAGTAGGTGTTCTCGTTAAAAAGGTTAAAGTATGGGATGACCTCTCTTTTCTTTTAGAGAAGCTATCTAGTTTTATATGAGAATTTGTTAAGAGCGTTTTACCTTTTTTACCAGGGTTCGGATATTCTAAACTGGCCTGGTTGTAGTAAGACTTCTTCAAACTTTGCCTGGTCAGGGTCTGGTGGTCTGTCTGACCCTTGATTCCTGTTAGGACCAGGCGAAGTTTATTTTAGTCGTAGCTACGGTTACTTTTATTATTAATGTTTTCGTCATAGCTTTTTAGTTTTCAGGGTTCTCGATTTTCACTCTTGAGACTGAGTGGTAGCGTTGTAATTTTGTTTGTATATATAATTTTATGTGCAAGAAAGGGTTCAACCCTGAGGTCTATGTTTTGGGGCTTACATTGTAAGTTTTGTCTACGTTGTAGGAGTTCTGCTCCGCAGAACTTCTTATAGTTGACAGTCCCTGTTGAGGTTCAATCAACACAAGTTTACAAGTCTAGATTATGCTTATAGCAGACTCACCCCAATCTTCTTACATGTATATACAACAATGAAATACCATCCATTAGTCTTCTTTTCCTCATCTATGAAAAGAAGACTCACCATGTCTGTATTCATGCAACACCTTGACATGCACACACAAAAGACTTTTGATAGAAACTTGCAAGAGCCTCAAAAGAGGTCTTGAGGCTTTGCCTTTATTAAGTGGGTTGTTGAAACTTGGGTAATTGAGTTCCAACAAAGGGTGTGTGCATAAAGGTGATCCACCAGTCTGAACTTCAGAAAAGTTCTTCCAGATTCTTTTGGAAACTCTCTGGGTGTGCACGTCAACGTCCTACAGGGATACAGACATGGTGACTGTAAGTGGACTCATTTCTTTATTCTTGTTTCTTGATCTTTGTGACCTCTTCTGACCTACTTTTATCTTATTCTAGTCCCAGTCATCATCTTTGTTAGGCCCAAGATTAGGCTCTGAACCTGTTTGTTTCCCCCCAACTTAGGCTGTGTTCTAAGACTTTCTCAGTCCCCCAACAGGGCTTTTGGCACCCTCACTAGGTTAGGTTTGGGTGAAGCAGGGCATGAACTGTCAGCTCCAAAAATATTGTTGGGCAGAGTTGGTTGTGCTGTGCCAGAGCTGGTTCACAGCCCTAGGTACATTCACCTGGGACATGAATCAGGTACTGGAATGCAATAGTGTTTTCAACATGAACTCCAAGCCAATTGCTTTGCAAGTGGAAGAAATCAATTATCAAGAGAAGTATTCAAGTAAATGCATCCTTGATGATTTTTGCCGGGAAGGATGCAAGGTCCGTGTGTTCCTTATGTTCAGCTTTGTGGGTGCAGCCACTTTAGGAATTCTCTGTAAAAGGTGTTGCAGATCATACTCATTAAAATGACAGTCAGAAATATGGACAAATGGTAATGTGCTCTTATAGCTATCAAGCTTCTTACTTCAACAAGCCTCTTTTGAGTGTTTCTCCATTGCCATAAATGGTGGCCTTGGTATATATAATTGTTCAAAAATACTATAAAGGCTCAAACATTCAGTACATACATGTCTTTGATAGTTTGAAGCCAGCGATGAAACTCTAAGTCCATTAATGACTCTTCTACCTACAACATGATCAATAGGCAAATCCTGAAAAGAGTCAATAGAAGAATGCAAAGTATGATACCCCAATTTCTCCGTTTCTCTTGGTTCTCTCTGTGCTTTTGTCTTGCGCTTTTTGAGCGCAGTTTTTTTTACTTGTGTGCTTTTTGGATTTACCATCCCCTATCTTCTTGACAAATCCTCACCAGGTCTGGCCACCAATCAGCCTGAGCCCCAAAACTGATGCCCCAAGGGTTCCCCAAGCCCCAGATCCTTGGGGTGCGGGTTTGGTCAGGCTTTTTGGGACCCCAATACATCGGGGGTCCTGTTGGGTTTGGGGGCGGGGGTGGCATAGTCCTCACCCCCGATGTTAGGCGTAGGAATCCCCGGCTACCCGCGGGTTTTAGGCCTTTGGGATAGGGGTCAGGAGGGCTTCTGAGAGCCGGGTTTTGATTGGGTCGGGGTAGGGTTCGGGCGCGGGGGGGTTCATTGGATATTGGTTTGCAGTGCGGGAAGGCCATTACCCGTGTTTTTTGGGTCGTGGCTCAGGCTGAGCCACCAATGCTGTAAGCCAGATCCTGATGTATTGGATCAGGTCATTTTCATTGTACTTCAATGCCTTTGACATTCCTAACTTGTAATCTCTTTCCCAATTACCTTATTTGCACTTTGCAGAGATGGACATCTATGTAAGACACTCATCCCTTGCTTGTGAAATGAATCACCAAGAAGCTTCTCCAAACTTTCACTGTATTGAAATCTGTTGGAACATCACAGAAGGGAACCAAGACAAAAGTATGCAGATGTATATGTGATGTTTCTTAAGAGCATCTCCTATCGTCTCGGTAAACGGCTTCGGTACGGTAAATTTTACCGTACCGAGGGTCAAAATCCCCAATCGTGTCAAAAACACGCATCGGTACCTACAGAATCAGCAGAAATTCTGTAGAGGTCCAGTAAATGTACTGGACCTCTACCGATTCTGCAGAGGTCGGTATCTGAAGATCTGCTCGACTTCTACCGAGCAGATCATACAACTCATCCTCAAAATCACAATCCCAACTCCCACTTCCCACTACACCTGTATATACATCACCATCAAACACCATTTTTGAGGTGTTGGTACCTCTTCCATCTTGTAAATTCTTCATTTTTTAGATCAAGCGTCTTCAAAGGGTCATTTTTTCATAAAAAATTCGTTTTCTTATTCAATCGTTTTCAAATTTATCATCTTCAAATTAATTATCATCTTCAAATCAATCGTTCTCAACTTATCATTTTCAAATCGATTGTTTTCACATTGATCGTTTTTGAACCAATTGTTTTCAAATCAATCGTTCTCAAATCAATCATCCTCAAACCAATCCTCTTGTTTCAAAAGTGATTATTTTGAACTTGGTTGTTATCAGATCAGTTGTGTTCTTTGCAAACTGATTCCTCTCGAGTGGATGTTTGTCTGATAAAAGAACACTTTTCAACCATAAGCCTTTGAAATCAAGTGTGAGATTTACAGTTTTTTTACCAAATGCACGATAGTGGGAATGAGGTGTTTCTGTACTGTACGTACTGTAATTTGTTTGAGATAAAGTAACGATAGTGGAAATCCACTGTTCTGTATCTAAAGATACTGTACCGAGTGAGTATGTACAGAAAATTTACAGAAGATTTACTCAAACGATAGGAGATGCTCTAAATGGAATAAATGCTATGGACTCTCCAAGCTCAGCAATGACATATTTAAAGGGACTTGACAAAGACCCAGGGATTCGGATTCATATATATAAGATTTCCAATACCAGTGCTGAAAAGCACTCCTTTAACTCCAACATAATGATAGTTGTGACTGGTGTGTTTTGAGTCATCTTGAAAAAAGCTAGAACAGGAGTTGCAGATGAATTCTGGTTGGACCAAAAGTGTGTAAGAGCATGCTTATAGCTTTTTATTTTGACTGGCGAGTTGATCCTTTTGAAACACAGGAATCCTCTCCGGCTGAAAGAAAAATAAAGGTATAAGTTAAGATGCATTTGAAAAACCAATGGCACAGAAAAGAACGTGACGGTCACGAATGTCAAAAAAGAACTGAGATACAAAAAACAACAACAAGAAAAGATAGAAAAGGTTATTAAGGATGATATTACGTTGAGAGATACTCTGTATACAATGCGGTATCAGAATTTTGATTGAGCTGATCTTTGTGGAGTCCTTGATGGGGGTGTACTGATCATTACCTCTGCTGATCGATACTTTGTGTGGGTACTTAAGGGCGATGATCAACACAAGAAGGTGCGAGAATGGCGTCGGTAAAACCATGCGGAAGAGGGAAGAGACCGACGAGCAAGCGCATAGGTAGCTTCATGCTGTATTGAATGATCGGAAGTTGGTGCCTAGGTAATTTATTCCAATTGCGGCTACTTGTTTCTCAGTTTGTGGATAGCATCAAAGTGATTTTCAAGAGGGGAGTTCGGGGTCTGGTAAGCCGGACTTGAAGGAGGAGAAATATACTCTTCCTGCACATCTGACCGGGGTACCTGGACAGGAAGTGGGTAGAGTCTAATTGGTTGATCCATAACTGTGCGTCCAAAGCTATTCTGCCTTTGGATTTGATGCGGGAAGGCGGATTTTGGCGGAATTCTGATCTGCTCTGTGCCACCTTTTTGGACGTGGTAGATGTCCGAAACTGGGCATTGACGGGCAGGCGACCTAGTGACCAGGGAAGCGGTGTTGAGGCTCACTTGATACGGTGACCAGCCTTGACTCAGTGTGGTACTGATTTCAGAATTGGCGCTGGTATTCTTGCTTCTGGAGGTGTTGGAAAAGTACGACCGTTCTGCTTTTGGAAAAGGTATGCGCCAAGTCTTTCCACTGCGGGCACCACTCCTGCTGCTCATAGTTTTCTGTGTATGAGGTGTCCGAAGAGACCGAGAACTTTCGGTCAAGGCATGGGCTTGAAGTTTTTCGAAGGTCAGGGCGTTTGTATCAGGAAGGCCATTGACCCTGTCATGTTCCTCATCGTCCTCGGAATCCTGGTCGATCATCATCTCCGTAGAAACCGGAGGTCCACTCTCAGGCTCACGGGGAAGAGATGGATTCCTCGAAAAAGCAACGACGCATGCTAGCAGCCCGAGAACAGCTCCAGGACCTCCTCCCCATGACCAAGAAGCCCACTGCTCAATCGTTCGGAATAATTGGCTGAGACTGATTGATCTTGGCGCATCTAGAACATTGCAGACTTGCAGTCAAAAGCGAGGTGAAAAGTCAGATCCAAATGATTGATTGATCAAGTATCGAGCCAGCTTAGAGAAAGACGACTATCGTTATGGATTTTCACATGCTACTTACCTACGAAGATGTTGAGAACGATGTAGGACGTCGCGATCAGCGTACAGAAAACAGTCTGCCAAGTGTAGCGCACGCAATATTCAATCATGCGTTTCCGATGTTTTCTAGCTAACTCGTCGCCCTTACGACCTCCATCCCATCGGTCCAAAGCCGCAACCTTTTGTCTCAGGTTTCCTTCGTTTCCTGCAAGCCACATTTGTCTACCAGGGTTACTGGGTCTTCTTTCGAACGGACTTCGGGGCTCGTTAGAGTTTCTATCAAGGGGATCGTCGTCCTCGTCTGGCTGAAGTGAGGGTAGCCAAACCGAGATTCGCTCGAAAATCCGATTTGATGGCTTTGTTCGAGTTTTCTGCCCTTCGTTGCGCCAGTCGGCCTTGTCTGTGGTAAGTGCGGATCCCGGTGTAATAGCGGAGACAATTGACACTCGGCTTGAGACAAGCTGTTCGCGCTCGCGTTGGATTCTACCCAGAATCTCGATCTGGCGTGTGAAGGCCAGCAAGAGGGCAAACGATGCTGATAAGAAAATGATGAGGGCAGTAAAAGAAACGAGGAACCAAATTCCTGAGAAAATCCGAAGGTTGTTGAGCGTTTGATTTTCAGAGTCTTGCAAGTCAAGAAGCTCGCGCCCAGTTTTCACAGCCAATAGAAGGCTTGTACCCATATCTTGCGGGATAGCAGACAGATGTCCGATCAAGTCGTTGACGATCAGTTCAAAGGCTTCAAGGCGACGGTGGATGATCTGGACCCAATAAACCGTGAAGCACAACCAAGGAACAGGAAGGAGACCGGTCAGATAGCCTATCAAGATCAGCGAGTTGAAGACCTTTGGAGGCAAAACTCGGCGACGGGTGATGCGTGCAGTGGATCCCAATACATCTCGCCGACGAAGACGAAAGATGGAGGAGGGCAGTGCATATAAAACAGCCCAAGCTAGAAACGTATCAATCACACCGTCAGCTTCCCATCACATCTCTGCAAAGTGTCTGGGGAAGATGTTCGTACTTTTTGTCCAACCACCGAAATACAACGTGCTGCATGCGACCAAATTTAATGCCACCACTCGTTCACCTTTACCATCGGTAAGCGGACCGATGAGTATGAGCCCGATTGCAGTAGATTGAGCTATCGAAGGGTAGTTCATGCGTCAGTTGCACAAACCATCATCGCTTGTGTTGTGCGGTGAGGACCGGCTTGACTTACTAGCAGCATATATGATAGTGACAAGCGGTATTGCAACATGTACATTTGGGCGCCAATATCCATCAACGTCTTTTTTGAAGCACCACAGGCCACTTTCGCTTGCCCGGCGCATTAAGGCGGCAAGGTATAGAAATCCACTCAGACACACAATGATACCCTGACACCATAGTACCCGCTTATCTCTGGGAGTATATGGGGATCGCGCTGTTGCTAAGATCTTGTCTCGAATGATAGTCCATTCGGCAGCAGTGGTGGGAATACTTCCGGTCGACAATTGGCTTGTCATTGTAAAAAAGTATGCTGGTAGAGCGTGATATTTTTCAATCGGGGTTCTGAGGTGAATTGGGTAACGTCGATCCTCGGAAACGGCGAACAGTATCACAGATTGATTCTAGTGGAGAGCAGGTTTTGGGCTGATTTCCCGTTCGGACAGTACGTTGAAGCCTCTCCGTAATTGTTATATGATAATGAAGATAGGTTGAACAAAGATATGCCACAGAATTGGAGTTGAATTGCTATTTTTCCACGATAAAGGAATGGTCGTATGTGAGAGGTTGATGAAGGTACCTGTTCGATATGCTTATCATCAGTTAGGAAGATCAATAAGTGAGTGCCAAATGGGGTTAAAAAGTGTGCATGGGCGGAACTTGATGACCACAGTTTGTTGGCTAAGATAGTGACAGAGCAATGTTCGGTAAATTCCTATGCACAGCGAAAAACTTTGCAAAAGGATATACCTTGAAACAAAGGATACTACGACTGACCATAGATATGCCTCCCCTGAACTGAGGCTGAGCAGGGCGAAGTGAGATTTGCAGGCAGCAAAACAAAGGACTCGACAATGGCGACTAAGGAAACAATGACAATAGACAATGGGAACCTCATTGTTGATAGCCTAAGGCTCCCGGTCAGTATTAGGTACAAAGACTTCGGAAACAAGTCTCAGCAAACCCATAGAAACGGGGCTCTCACTGTTACATCAGGGGTACAGTGACGGTCAAATATGTCCCTCATTATGAAGCTACCAGCGATGGATGACGTGTTTCAAGACGAATCGAGGTGCTATATATACAACCTTTGCATAGAGGAGAGGGGAATTGATATATATATAAAACCTCTTTCGCTGTCTCAAGTCGCAGATATGTACCGGAGATCATGATGCGATGCTAGATGATTCAATCGATCATTTAGGTTGATCATATACGTTCGGACAGAGAAAAGGACGAAACAAAACCCTTAGCATAGCAATTCCAGTCTAGGACGCAGCGGAAGATATATTGCTAGTTGAATACAAGTGTGACGATACGCCAAGAGATATAATAAAACGCGATATTGCAGAAACGATTGGGATTATAGTTCAATCACGATCGATGGTAGGGGGCAGTTTCTGCCGTTGATCGAGCGATCACGAAACCCATCGCTTATCCTCGCTGGAGGTGGAACGAAGATGCGACCACCCACGGCTGTAGAAATTGGATTGAGTTGAATGATGCGGCGACCCTTGCACACCTGATGCGGCATGCCTGATTATATGGAGCTGGGTGATTCAAGTTCTGGGTATTTATCGGCATTTTGTCACTACTCAAAAGATGTACCAGGATGCGCTTTGGAAGACTTGGTCGACCCACGCTGCAAATGTCGGTCAAGGCAGAATTTGGGAGGGTTAATGTCAGCCAAAAAGTGCCGTAAAGTTCAAGTACTTTTGCTTCCCGAATCCCAGCCCGTCGGAGGTCATAAATTACAACAAAAATGCAAGCGATGACCGAGGCACGAGGGACTTACTCCTTACCCCGAACATTTGGCGTGGTAGGTTGAGAATTTTAGTAGGGGAAATTTGGGATCTCCTTTAACCCCAACTTCCCATGATCAACTGTGTGGAAAAAGTGGGTGTTCTTCATCGCTTGCTATAGTGGCTCTCAAACCTGCCCTGGTTTTCAAAAAACCCAGTTGACCCAGTTGTTTTTTGGCAGTAACTTTGTGTATCAAGTTGACATTTGTTGACAGCTCCCAGCCAAAAATTCCACTGGGGCAACCGGGTTTTTTGAAACTGGGTCAGGTTTGAGAGCCACTTATGTATAAACCCCGGCACAACGGGACTTAGTTAAGTTTGAGACAATGTGCTTTTCAGGTGAGCTTTCTCAGTTTTCAATTTGAAATCCCCACAGCATTTGTATGTTGAGACAGTTATATCTGTTAAAGTAAAAGTGTAAATGTTACATTCAGATTTCACGATTTATGATATTTCATTACTTCTTGGATGAAGGTGAGTAATTCAGTTTCGCGGGATAGGTACTAGATTCAAGGTTCACTTTCTGAATCATACAATCCCTGCTCTGTCAGGTAAGTCTCTTTAATGTTTTGTTTGTTTTCTTATTAACTTTTAGATAGTTTAATCATGTGATGGAATAATAAAACTGATCCAAGTTAATCTCATTACTTCTTGGATGAAGGTGAGTAATTCAGTTTCGCGGGATAGGTACTAGATTCAAGGTTCACTTTCTGAATCATACAATCCCTGCTCCGTCAGGTGAGTAATTCAGTTTCGCGGGATAGGTACTAGATTCAAGGTTCACTTTCTGAATCATACAATCCCTGCTCCGTCAGATTTGTACAGTCGCTAAAGGCTGAATTCAGCTACCCTTTCGACCCGGGGCTGGCCCCGGTCCCAATTTTGGGGGTTTGAATTTCCAAAAAAATAGTTTTTTAGCATCTTCAAATCTTCAAGAACCCATCATATTATACCAGAATTATAGCTTTCAGGGCTCAAACGAGAGTCTATAAGGCCCAACAGACTTCCAACTAGTCAAAACCAGTGTTCAAGGTGGTAATTGATCTGATTTTGTGGCCAACCTTTTGTTACGACTAGAGCTATTAAGTACTTAAGCTAGCGGGCCTAAGTACTTAGGTGGCTAAGGTACTACGTTTATTAGCATAATACAGCCTAAATATATGCTTAGGTCCCAAAATGTGGGAATTTTAGTAAAAAAAAAAATCAACTTTTGAACCGTTCAACTTTTTTGATTTTTTTTCACATTTTCAGATTGAGCTCATTCAGCCCATTCCATAAATGTCCTGGTATAGAGTGTAGTGTAGAATTGAGTTAGGGTAACACCGGGTCGAAGTTGAAATTTTGATTTTGCGGGCAAGGGGTAGTTGGAATCTGGCTTTAGCGACTGTAACAGGTTATGAGCCCAGCGTGATCCACGTCTGCGGTACTCTATTCCATCACATTTCTAGCAGATCAGAATTGAACCTTATCAGTCTAGTCCTTCTCCGATCTTCGAATTACGCCCGAGACGTCAATGAACCCAAACAGCTCCACAAACGTCAACCCAGAATCGAAACCAAGCAAATCTAGTAGATCTAAACCGCCAACTGAAACTACTCAACCTTCACTTTCTCAATCTAAAAACTCAATCCCATTTCCTTTAATTGAAAACAAACCCAGTATGACAGATCAAAAAGAGTTTTCTTTAAGTTCATACTCCAACATAGTAAAGCTAACTTCTTACACGTTCAATGATTGGAAGCTTAAGTTAATTACTGTGTTGGGGGGACAGCGTTTGTCTAAATTCTTACTGAAAGACTTACCTGAACCCACCGATCCAACCGAATTAGAAGATTTCGAAACGAATTCATCGAGAGCTTTAGCAGCTATTCATGCAACAATTGACGGAGAAAACTTTCAAGTCATCAGAACGTGTACATCGCCGAGGCAAGCTTTCAAGGCTTTGTGTGAACATCATGATGATGCGGGAGGTCTCTCTACTGCTCACCTGTTCTCTGATCTCGTTTCAATCAAACTGCACCCCGATGAAGATTTATCAGAACACATTGCAAAATTCCGAAAAATTCACAACGATATACTTAGCAATCTTGCATCTACCCCTGATTTTAAGATATCTGAGCCTTTCATTGCGATCATTCTTATAAAATCTCTTCCCTCTGATTATACCCCTTTAGTTCAAAGTCTTCTCACAAATTTTGAAACACTTACTCTTACTAGACTGTACTCTCTTCTCAAGATTGAAGCGACTCGCAACGCGTCTTCTGCCAACACAGACACCGCCCTATCTGCCAACCGACCACGTAACAACTACAAGTCAAAGGCTAATAGGAAGAACAATCGATCTGGAAACCACACACCATCCACTTCGAATCTCAGGTGCTCACTTGGTCATTCAGGACATACCGATGAGAACTGTCGGACTAGGAAGTATAAGGCTTTTCTTGAATTTGAGAAACAACAAAATTCAAAGTCATCCAATCATGCAACTACCTCCGTTTCTGCTCAACTGTCTCAATCCATTCCCGATGCCGATGAGGATGTATCATATTGGGAATCAGCTTTCTCTGCCACGACTTCTTCCAAAGATCCAATAATCTGTGACACTGGAGCAACTAGTCATATGTTTTCTGATTCCTCTCTCATCACTGATTTACAATCCATCAAACCAACACGTATTGGAGTGGCTTCTCAAGATGGGGCGATATGGGCAAAGCACAAGGGTATTGTCAGGTTCGAATCTCTAATCCTTCGAGACGTTCTCTATTCTCCCGAATTAACTGGAAATCTAATCTCTATTGGACGCCTGTGCGATGATGGTTTCAATGCTTCTTTCGCGAAAACCATTGGCACCATCACAGATTCGACAGGGAAAACGGTCCTTCGGATGCGACGCAACACCAGCACCAATCGGCTGTGGACTCCAATCTTTGACAAACCAGTCCCGAGAGCTTTCTTTTCTTATACCGATGCTGAGAAGTTTGCTACGCTCTGGCACAGGAGATTAGGTCACCTTCATCCAGATGCTGTTATCTTATTTCTCAAACGTCATAAAATGCTTCCTTTAAGCCGAAAGAATTTTCTTCCTTGTGATTCTTGTGCAATGGGGAAGCTTACCCAAGCCCCGGCGACCCACTCTTTTCATCGATCTCCTGGAGTGCTCAATCTTGTACATAGTGATCTGATTGGTCCTATTTCTCCCTCTTCCAAAACCGGTTTCAAATACGTTGTCACTTTTATCGATGATCATACTCGTTATAGTACAGTTTATCTTCTGAAATCTAAAAACCAAACTTTTGATGCTTTTAAACAATATAAGTCCCTCATGGAAAAGAAGTGTGGCTCCAAAATCATGAAGTTGAAATCGGATAGGGGGGGGAGTATTCATCTGCTCAATTTATCAAGTTCCTCAAAGATGAGGGGATCGAAGAAGAAAAAGGTCCAGCACATCGACCAACTGCTGACTCTGTAGCTGAGCGATATAATAGAACCCTACTGAGTAAAGTTAGATCTCAATTAATTCATTCCGGCTTGCCTCTTTCACTTTGGGGGGAATTAGTCAAATACACCTGTCTTCAAATCAATTGCTCACCTTCAGCAGCTTTACAAAATCTGTCACCAATGGAAGTTTTCGAGGCAAATCTTCCGGGACATGTACATCCGTTCGACACAGACCGCCTAAAACCGTTTGGGTCTCTGTGTTTTGCTGTTGATCGGAATCAAAAATCTAAAGTCGGACCAATCGCCAAGCGTTTCATCTTTTTAGGATTGGAAGATGGCGCAAGAGCAGCTCGTCTGTGGGACAAGCAAACCGGTTGTGTCTTGGTCACCGGTGATGTTGTGTATTGGGAGGATATCTTTCCCGCTCAGCATCCTTCCCTGTCCCCCAAAGTACAGGATGAACTCATTCTGCCTGAGTACACCACTAAACGTGTTTCTTCGACGCCGGAATCGGAACCCAGTTTGTCTCCCAAACCACCCAAGATAGCTTCACCAAATTGTTTCGAAGTGCTCCAAGACACGACTGAGTCGAATGAAGATGAATCTGATGGAGACAAACCTCCTCCATCGTGGCCTTATCAACCAAAGGAAACGATTCCTCTATCAGGTTCTATTCATGCTCCCAAGGATATTGAGCCGATAACAGATGCCGACACAGTGAATCACCCTCAACCTTTGTTAGTTAAAGACAATGCTATACGGGACCATACATCAATATCCTCGAAATCATCTCCATCTGTTCGGTCTGCTCCATCCCCACACTCATCAGCTTCGTCGATAAGTGATCTGATCGATCAGAACCCAGAGGATACACCGGATGTCATCTCCCCGGTCTCTATTCACTCCTCACCGTTATCTTCAATTAAATCTCTACCTGGCCGGGAGAGTATTGATCATACACCTCCACGGGTTATAACTCCTTCACCCAAAACCCCGCCACAAGTGACGGTCTCGCCAAAACCACCCACACCACCTTCAGTGGTATCGCCGAAGTCTCCTATATCAGTTCCTGATGTGACTCCTACTCCACAAGCCTCGTCGTCAACTAAGCCACCACCAGCGCCACCGCCTCGCATCAAAGCTGCAAAGCAATCTGCACCAGTGGCGGTTCGGAAGTCTTCAAGAGTTAGCAAACCACCAGAGCGATATGGCTTTCTCACGGAATCTGGTGTCTCCAAATCATCTTCGTCTCCAATGTTAATCACCAACTCTTGGACTGTCATTCCAAACCATTATGGATTTTCGGCGACGACAGGCTCTGATCCTGATAGCCCGACTTTTTCTCAAGCAATGACAGGTCCCGACAGACAGGCATGGATAAATGCTATGCAACACGAGTTTGATTCACTCACTGAGCACGGCGTTGGCAAATTAGTCGACCCACCTCCTGATGCTAATATTCTGGGGGGAATGTGGATTTTTAACAAGAAGCGAGATGAACATAATCACGTAGTTTGTTTCAAAGCGCGTTGGGTTGTGTTGGGTAATCATCAAATCAAAGGTTTGGACTATGATGATACATATGCATCTGTTGGCAAGATTGACTCTCTCCGTATTCTTTTAGCGCTCAGTACAATTAAACCCAAAGCTAAGGGTAAACGTCGAATGAAAGTACGTCAATTCGACGTTGTCACTGCTTTTCTCAATGGCGATATGAAGGATAGAGTTTATGCAAAGCAAGTCACTGGTTTTGAAAATCCCACCCTTCGTCATCGTGTTTGGCTGCTTATTAAATCACTTTATGGCACCAAGCAAGCTGCAAGACGATGGCAACAACACTTTGGAGCAACGGCTGCGGGGTTTGAACTCTTTCCAATTGATTCAGACACTGCGGTATATGTTCTTCGAACTTCATTAGGATTACTCATACTTCACCTTCATGTTGATGACTCGTTAATATTCTGTGACGATGACGATCTATTTGACAAATTCAAACTATTCATTGACTCTAAATACAAACTCAAGTGGAATGACAAGCCAACTCTATATCTTGGTATCAAACTCGAAATCTCTGATGATAACTCTGAAATTAAAATATCTCAATCTCATTACCTTGATGCTGTTTTGGAACGATTTGCAATGTTAAACTGCAAGCCGGCAAAATCACCTCTACCTCAAAAACTTATTCTTACACCAGGCACTGAGGAGGAAGTTGAGGAAGCTAAAAATATACCATATCAAGAATTGGTTGGTTGTTTACAATGGATATCCACCTGCACAAGACCCGATATATCATACGCTGTATCTCAGTTATCAAAATTTAACTCATCATGGACCATTACTCACTGGACGGCCGCAAAACATCTTCTTCGTTATCTACGTGGTACTCAAGATTTAGCTATTACTTACTCTGGGGGGATTGCTGAGCCACAAGCTTACTCTGATTCTGATTTCTCTCAGTGCTCACTAACCCGAAAGTCAGTAACCGGATTTGTTGTTACCGTAGCAAATGGGGCTGTTAGCTGGAAATCTCAACATCAACCGGTTGTTGCTTTATCAACATCTGAAGCGGAATACATTGCTGCGACAGAGTGTTCAAAACACATGGCTTGGGTATGATCTTTCTACTTCGACATCATGCATCAGCTCGAATCACCAACGCCTTTCTATATTGATAACACCTCAGCAATCTTTACGGCAACAAGTGATGGCATCAAAGCACGTTCAAAGCACATTGATAGACGTCACCACTATATTAGAGATCTTATTCAATCCAATAGTATCATCATTTACCACATTCCAAGCGAAGAGATGTTAGCAGACCATTTGACCAAACCATTAGGACCAGTAGCTTTAAATCATGCACTCAAGATAAATAATATGATTTAGAAATGCGTTGAAATAGGGGGGATGTTAAAGTAAAAGTGTAAATGTTACATTCAGATTTCACGATTTATGATATTTCACGTATATGTATTTCTTTCTCATTTCTAATGTTTGACATGTTTGTGATTGTTACGCTTACAAGAATAGTTGTACTCATTTTAAACCTAACTTTAATCATACTGTACAGTTCATATACCTGATGGAGCAGCGAATTCTGAATTCTTCTTTCCTCATCCAAGTTAATCTCATTACTTCTTGGATGAAGGTGAGTAATTCAGTTTCGCGGGATAGGTACTAGATTCAAGGTTCACTTTCTGAATCATACAATCCCTGCTCTGTCAGGTAAGTCTCTTTAATGTTTTGTTTGTTTTCTTATTAACTTTTAGATAGTTTAATCATGTGATGGAATAATAAAACTGATCCAAGTTAATCTCATTACTTCTTGGATGAAGGTGAGTAATTCAGTTTCGCGGGATAGGTACTAGATTCAAGGTTCACTTTCTGAATCATACAATCCCTGCTCCGTCAGGTGAGTAATTCAGTTTCGCGGGATAGGTACTAGATTCAAGGTTCACTTTCTGAATCATACAATCCCTGCTCCGTCAGATTTGTAACAATATCTTGGCATTTCTCCAACTTGGACCCCATAAGCTCAAGTAGCAGGACTTGTGTTTTCTAAACGTACTGAGCCCAATTGAAATCAACAGGGATTGGGCAAGGTGAAATTGTGGAAAACTGAATTTAGCTGCAACTCCAACAAAGGGCCTGGCGGATCCACCACAAATCCAGACTACTTATATCTGCATATGTATAAACAGACAATGTTTTCAAATGGAGTTGACCTGGAAATATGTCAGATCAAAGGAGATCACATGTCTTGAGGACAGGTTGGGATACACAACAACAATTTTTTGATCAAATCAAAAGCAAAAAAAATGGTGGAGTTGCAGGACTTGTGTGGATGGTTGTCTGCTTTGATTGAGTAGCTGTCCAGTTTTATTGAATTGAAGATATGTGAAAATCTAATATATAAATACGTAGAACAGACTCGCATGAGTGTTTGGTCCTCTGTTTGGTTCGTTGGCCAGATGCTACTCATATTTTGCTTTTCCATTTCCCCATTTTTCCCTGTTCATCTTTCCCCCTTCTTTTACTTTTTGTATTTTGCTTTCTATTTACGGTACTCAAAGTTGAAAGGTAGATTCTACCTTTTTTGAAAACCTAGATACAAAAACTAGGCACTGCCGGGAAAAGTGAGATTTGGGTTCTCCAGTGCCGGCACACACTTCAACCTCACAGAGTGATGAAAAGGAGTCAACCGGTGAGTGAATCGACCGATTATTCACTCACCTATTGAATGGAATCAACTTATTCAATGAGTGAACCCACTGATTTGAATCGATCAAATCAAATTCAATCAATTCAAATCAGATGAAAGGCAGTTTCACTTTTTGACCAACTGATATCACTGGTGACTGACATTAACAAAACTATTGAGGTTGTATTTCAAATTCAAAAGGTATTTAAATAACTTGATCTACTCCAACCCATGATCTCTGAGGACCTCAGAGATCATTAAAAGGACCTATTTGACAATCCAAATTATAATGAAATGCATCTTGAGTTGTGAAGGCATGACTGAGGGACAGAACCAAGAGGATAGATGGCTGCAGCAGTTGCTATCATCTCGAGTTGAAGGTAAGCATATGAAGATGAAAAGGGGTTTTTGAAGTGAAGTCGATGACAGATGAGAATTATAAGCACGGGGGCCTCAAAGTGAGGGCTACATATCAGTTTTTTTCCCCGCCAAAAAAAAACTAGCATTCTAGGTTTTGAAAAAGGCAGAATCTACCTTTCAACTTTGAGTACCCTTATTGTTTCCACTTTGTGATTCCCAAATTTGCACATTCCCTTTGTTCTACATGTATGCGCTTTTGCAGCCCAAGACGTGCCTTTATTACTTTTACTGCTTTCCATTTCCTTTTTAATTGCTCCATATTGTTTTATACCGGTGTGGAAATCAGAATTGGGGTAACCCCATTATTTTATTAACTTTCATTTTAAAATATGAGAAACTACATTTTTTAGAACATTACATCAATAATGTGTTTTTAAATTAGTTCTTTATTTAGTTCATTTCTTTTTTTTTTATTTTCTTTCTCTCTTTACTTAATTTCAATTTTCATTTTTCATTTTTTATTTTTTATCTTATTTAGTTTGATCATATATGTCAAGTTTTATTATGTGAAGTGTTATATTTTTATTTCTCTATTTTTCTTTTTATGGGTTATGTAGTTTGATGGATGAGGTGTAGTGTAAAATGAAGTCAAATTTCGAATTTATGGGTTTAGAGGTTATGTGTAGTTGAATGTTGTATGGGTTACATAGGGTGTACAGGCTTAAACTTGAAATTTCGAATTTTATGGGTTTAAAAAGTCATGGTTACAGATGTGTATGGTTTTAACAAGTTATGTGTAGAGGAATCATGGTTTTGAGGTATGGGTTTAAATAAGGCTGAATTTCGAAAATCCAGCAACTCAGACAGATGGTGGTAAACTGGGGTGGTGGTAAACTGGGGTGGTAAACTGAAAAAGCAAGTAGGGATCGGTGTGAAATTATAAATTCATCAGATTATCAAACACCAATATTGGCAAATACAAAATCACAAATGAAAAGGATGATTTTGAAACTCGAAAATGGCTTTCAAAATTCCATAAAAGGCTCCATTTTCAATCATGAGACTTTATTTCAAATGTACTACATCAGTTTTTTAGAGGGTAAATCATGTGGAAGGCATCATATGGGCGCATCTGAGCATGAAAAATCAATTATAAACCATATACAGCATTATCAGTGGTAATATCAGGTGGTAAACTGGGTAAATTCAATTTCGAGTATTTTCACATAAAATCGAATTTCATTTTAAGGGTACAACCAATAGAGTTAGAGTTTAGCTTGGCTGAGAAAAGTTGTAGAGCGGAAGCAGACCTTTTTTTCTGTCTATTCAGATCTTTGATACAGTCCCTATTTCTTATCTTTTTTCAGGTTTTAAGGGTAAATTGGCGGATTTTTCAGTTTTTGTGGTAAACAGCTCAGTTTTGATGATAAATGTGTGCTTGAAAATTTGTGAATGATACATGTGGGTGAGTTGAAGATGTTTATCAATTTTAATTTGGGGGTTGTTCAATGAATTGTGTGTGAAAAAGTTGTTTGAAGGTGGATTTCGAGTTTGAGGGTTGTTTTTGTCTTACTTTCTTTTTTTGTGTGTGTTTCAATTTTGATATAGTCAAGGGTCTCTTTTCTTTCCCTTTGGGAGCCTTTTAGTTAGCAAAAATAATTACTAGATTTCTAGAATAAGCTTTTATCTTTTATTATTATCATTCAGGTAAACAACTAA